CTATTTATGGCTCTGCAGTCAGCCTCATCCGCTGAATGCTACAAATATCTTGGCATCACACTCTTAAGTAACATTTCCGGGTCAGTTTATGTGACTAACATAGTCAATTGCGCAGATCGCGCTCTGGGTTTTCTGTGTAGACACTTACGACTTGTACCCCCATCAGTTAAATTAATATCATATGTTATGTTTGTTAATCCAAAATAATAATATGCATGCTCTATCTGGGTCGCCATCAATCTAATGTATCCAACATTCCAGAATCAATCCAAAACTGCACTGCTAGCTTTATCTACTCCAAATATTCCTACAATTTCAGTGTTTCCAAAGCTGAAATCCGGGCTAATCTTTCTGATCTAGATTCACGACGTCGCATATTTTGACTATGTCTTTTTCACAAGTTTTATCATGCTCCCATCGAAATTCCAGCCATCCTGCCAGTAGATAGCACATCCAGCTGCAGAAACTATTCAAGAACATATACCCTCCGCCAGCACAAACCACCACCCGTCTTCGATCCTTTTTTGTAACAGCCGCACAGGACTGGAACTGTCTGCCTGCAACTACCGTGCACCACTCCGACCCCATCAATTCAAGATTGCCCTCGAGTCACTTTTTTATAATTAATGCCCATCGCTCATGTAAAAGCTCCTGTTGGAGCCTTTGAAGTACTAATAAAAATAAAAATAGATACAATAAAAATTAAGTAATCTTCTTCTGGCTGTGCACTTGCAAATGTGCAATAACATTTGGCATAATGACACAACTCATCATCATCATCATCAGCTTGACTACGCCCACTGCAGGGCAAAGGCTTTTCTCATGATCTGCCAATTGACCCGGTCCTGTGCTTTTCATTGCCACGTTATACCCACAAACTTTTTAATCTCATCGGCCCACTTAACTCTCTGTCTCCCCTTTGTGCATTTGCCTTCTCTGGGAATCCAGTCAGCACCGGTTATCCTGCCTATGGGCTACGTGTCCCGCCCATGTCCATTTCTTTTTCTTAATTTCAACTATGATATCCTTAAGCCCAGTTCGTTCCTTGACCCACTCTGCTCTGTTCTCTTCTCTTAACGTTACACCTATCATTTTCCTTTCCATCACTCGCTGCGTCGTCCTCAATTCAAGCTGAGTCCTCTTTGTAAGCCTCTAGGTTTTTGCTCCGTACGTAAGTACTGGCAAGATGCAACTGTTATATACCTTCCTCTTGAGGGATAGTGGCAATCTACCAGTCATGATTTGAGAGTGCTTGCCAAATGTGCTCCACCCCATTCTTATTCATCTAGTTACTTCAATTTCGTGGTTCGACTCCGCGGTTATTACTTCCTAAGTAGACATATTTCTTAACAACTTCTAGTGTCTCTTCATGTACCACAAAGTGCTGTTTTTTGCCGACACGGTTCCACATTGCTTTGTAGTTTCGTGCATATTAATTTTCACACCTAGATTTTTGCTTTCCTTGTCCAGTTCAGTAATCATGAGCTGTAATTCGTCCCCTAAGTTACTCATCAAGGCAATGTCATCAGCAAACCGCAGGTTACAAAGATACTCTCCAATAACTTTTATCCTTTATTATTGGGATTTTTTCGCTTTCTTTATGGAGAACTATGGTGGCTGTGGATCCTTTGTAAATTTCTTCCAGTATGTTTATGTAGGGTTCTTCAATGCGTTGATTCCGTAGTGCCTGCATTACTGCATGCTGATGTCTCGACTGAGTCAAACGCCTTCTCATAATCTATAAAAGCTATGTATAGGGGTTGGTGTTATTCAGCGCGTTTCTCTATTACCTGATTTATAGTATGAATATGGTCTATTGTGGAGTAGCTGGAACAAAATCCTGCTTGGTCCTTTGGCTGATTGAACTCTAATATTTTCTTAATTCTATTAGCAATTATATTTGTAAATAGCAATTGTAGAGAACAGAGAGTAAGCTGATCGGCCTGTAATTTTTCAAGTCCTTGAGGTCTCCTTTCTTATGGATTAAGATGATATTGGCGTTCTTCCGAGATTCTGGTACCCTTCTCATCAAGGGACACTTTGTATATATGGTGGCTAATTTTTCTAACACAATTTCTCCGCTCTCTTTCAGGAGGTACATTGTTACTTTATCCTCACCAGTGGCTTTGACTCTTTGCATTCCTTCTAGGGCTTTCCTTACTTCCCTGGTCGTTACTGGTAGGATGTCGAATTCTCTTGAACTATTATAACACAATTTCTCCGCTCTTTTTCAGGAGGTACGTTGTTACTTTATCCTCACCAGTGGCTTTGACTCTTTGCATTCCTTCTAGGGCTTTCCTTACTTCCCTGGTCTTTACTGGTAGGATGTCGAATTCCCTTGAACTATTATACTTTCTCCCAATACCACCGTGGTTCTTTTGACTTCTGCACAGCTCTCTGAACTCCTCCGCCATCTCGACTATTTATTCATATTGGTTATTATATTGCCTTTCTTGTTCCTGAATGCATACATCCGATTTTCGCCTATGCACAAGTCTTCCTTCGTAGCTTATAGGCTTCTGCCGCTTTTTACACCCTGCTCAATTCTTTCCATGTTATACCTCCTGATGTCGGCAACTTTACGCCTATCAATTAACTTTGAAAGCTCCACTAGCTCTATTTTGTCGGCTGCATTTGAGGCTTTCATCATTTGCCATCTCTTAATAAGATTTTTTGTCTCCTGAGATAGTTTGCCAGTTTCCTGTCTGGTGACTGAACCTCCAACTTCAATTGCACACTCTTTGATGGTACTAGTAATCGATTCTGAAGCAAATCTCACAATTCCTCTATTTTTCCTCTCACCGCCAGTTCATTAATTGGCTTCTTGCATACCAGTTTTTGTCTTTGCTTTCTTAAACCTAGGTGAATAAGAGCTCTTACTATTCTATGGTCACTGCATCTAATCTTGCTAACTACTTCTACATCCTGTACAATGTCTGAGTGTGCAGACAGAATGAAGTCAATTTCATTTTTAGTTTCCCCATTAGGACTTAGCTACGTCCACTTACGTTTAGCCCATTTCCTAAAGAAGGTATTCATAATTCATAAATTATTGCGTTCTGCGAACTCTACTATTAATAACTCCCCTCTGGCATTTTTAGAGCCGATGCCATATTCCCCCACTGCATGGTCTGCGGCCTGTTTCTTGCCTACTTTGGCATTAAAGTCGCCCATAAGGATAGTATACAGTGTCTTTAGTTTAATAATAGCTGACTCTACGTCTCCATAAAAGCATTCAACCAAGTGATCACCATGGCTCGATGTAGGCATATAGGCCTGTACCACCTTCATCTTGTACCTTTTGTTAAACTAAGTTATACTTGCCACCCTTTCACTGATGCTATAGTATTCCTCTATGTTGCCAGCGATATTCTTGTGTATGAGAAACCCCACTCCTAGTTCTTTTCTGTCAACTAATCCACGGTAGAATAGTATGTGTCCATTCTCCAGCACTGTATAAGCCTCACGTGTCCTCCTAACTTCGGTGAGCCCTATTACATCCCACATAACACCCTGGGATTCCTCGAATAGCACAGCTAGACTAGCCTCACTAGATAGCGTCTTAGTGTTGAAGGTAGCCATGTTCAGATTCCAATGGCGGCCTATCCGTACCCAGGGGTTCTTAGTACCCTCTGCCGTGTCACAGGTCTGGCCGCTGCCTTGAACAGTTGCTTCACAGCTGCTGGGGACTAAGGGCCCAGGGTTAAGTGCTGTGTTCATGGGACGTTGTGGCCAGGTACTGCACCAGGGTGGCCCATCCTGCTCTGGTGAGGGAGTGCATTACCAGCAGATGGTTGCCAGTGAGGCCGCACTCCAGACCTCTTTTTTTCTTTTTTTTTCAACTATTCTTTTCTCAAGCATTTTTAGTAGATATACAACTGGGAATGGTTCGACATCTGTATTTGAACCGAAATTTGTCATGGCATGCTTGGCTGCTGTGCTATCTCGAAGTAGATGGTCTGTCACACTTTATTAGCAATGTAAGAAGCCACCGGACCGCCTATAGGCTCCCAACTTTACCTGCCTCGTAGCTCGCCTCACGTTTTTTCCTGGTCTGGAAATCTAGTTTCTCTATTTAAAAAAAAGCACCCTGTGCGGTTTCAAACTTCTGCCCTTGCGAGCTTGTACGGGATTAGAGCCTTGAATGATTCTCCTTCTCACATATTTGTTCTCTCCCAACATCTTTCTGTCATGCTCGATATTGACGTATTAGTAATTACATCATTGGTTAGCCTAAACGTAAAATAAAGGAGAGAAGCTAGAGAGAAAATTATTTCTAGCTCTAGAAAGCGGCGAAAGGAAAAAAAAAAGTTCGTAGAAAGCAATGTCGTGTTCACATCACTCATCGCAAAGCGTCAGCTTGAATTCCCAGACTCTGACAACTATTGGCACCCACTCTCACACACAACGATAAGTTCGTGCAACACATTCAGCTCGCACGTGCTTCTAGGTATTTTCGTATAAGTTTGGGGACCTGATGCTGGTGGGCGCCACTGCTCTAGGATAAATACTTTTAAATTTGCCTGTTTGTTCAGTGCAGTGCACTATTGTATTAGATGCTACTGATAATGTAGCTTAGGATTTTAATCAAATAGTAATACAAATAATCTTAGGGTGATTATGCTCGTCAAACAGGTGACACAACTAGTGTTAGTTTTTCAATCGGGACATGGCAAACCTCAGCCCAGCCTGAAAGCTAATTATAAGCATTTATGAGGGCGCTGTCCTTCATGTATTTGTGCCCGATGGCGTGGTGGCAAAGAAGAGTGAATATAGTCTCAGTTGCAATTAGGAGTGCCTTCTTATTCTAAATATTGTGACTGTCGTCAGAAGGGTGCACACACTTTAGAGTATTCAGACGATGGATGAGTTCAGTATAGAAAAAGGCATATAGATTTTCTTTTTTTTTTTGCAATTTGGTTGCATGTGTGTTGGTTTCAGCGATTTTTGGTTTTTAAACATAAAATACTGAAAGAGGTGGTGGTTGTATGCTGCTGCAGGGCCACTGAGCCGCGTGCAGGCCACACCACGCCTGTGCCCTCAAAGCAGCAGCAAGTGGAGCCAAGCATAGACTTTGAGCTAGATATCAAGGTGTTCTTCAACAGTGGCAAGTGCGTGCTGCACACGAGGGACCATGAGGAGGAGGCCACCAAAACGTGAGCAGCTTTGAGCTCTTCCACAAAATATTGCTCAGCTGTTTAAATGGATGCGAATGATAGTTTTGATCATTTTGTATAAATGCATTGAGCCAGTAGAGTAAGTCCTAAGTAGTATTAGCAAACCAATTATAGCTGTCTCCGTAAACGATACAATTTACTACACACCTTGAATCTGTATATTCCTACAGATCACGGCAACTTTGCCAAATTAGTTTTTAACTGCCCTCTTTCTTACTACATATTAGGGAAGTGAAATATAACACTGTCCCTCAATTTGATTGAATGTCCAGTCTACATCACTGATGCTTTTTCTAATGTAATTGTGAGCAGATGCTGTTCATAATAATTGAGACACTTCAGCATTTCTTTTTGTTTAAAAAGAGCATCAACAGAAAGAGAACTTGCTACTACAATTTGTTTTGTTTTTTTTCATGTTTTTGTGCTACCCTTGGCTGTTTTTTATTGTGACCTTTGGGAGGGTGCCATCACCTTTTATGAAGTCGCTTGTGCATTGTGGTGGACGGGCTCATCGGTGGATGGGACACGGGCTCATCATCATCGTTATGGTTAGCTTGGTAGCACCAGCAGTGCCACCCCACGGCAGGACACATAAAACATTGGGGAGTCTCTGTGGTGTTGGGGGGGGTCAGGACGGACATCTGCTGAAGGAGATTCACGAAAGTTGGCAAACATGGGTCAGTTCTTGTGTGTTCTTTGTGGTGAAGCAAACATGGGCGACGATGCCTTTGCAGTGTCTTGCCTTCATTGTTATGTTGATTGAATGCGATGGAATATTGTATAAGATTGCTTTATCTTGTCACTAATTATGTATTTGATTCAGCTGACAGTGTTGTTACGTGGCAATAACGGTCACTTGCAAGCCACAGTACAGCTCGCACACGTCATCAGCTTGTTCCACTTTATCCAGTACGCCATTAAGGATCTATCCAACTATACACTGAAAATGTCTGTGAAAAGGCAGCAAAAGCGCTGACTCGGTGAGTCTATAAGACCACAGTACAAGAAGAGTGGTAGCTTTTGAGCCTTGATACGTGGACGATGTGAAGAGTTAACAAGGTTGACGAGGTTGTGGGATTTTCCAGAACAGTTTCGTTTGTAGCCCATGAAACAAGAAAGTAGCTTCTTAGAAAGGTCGGCACATTGCATTGCATGGGGACCAGAGAAGAACGAGAAAACCCGCTGGTGATCATTAGTCGCGATGCCACTCGTCACAATGGTTTGGTCAGAAGCCATTAGTCTGTTGCGGGTGCAAGCTGAAAAGAGTGCCCAGCGAGCAATGACTGCACGTGCATATTCGCTGGTTGATGTTGCAGAAGCTAAAAGGAACATATTCAGGGGCAATGTTCGTTTGCGCCCAAACAAAACAAAAAACGGTGAGTATTCAGCAGTGTCGTGCCGGGAGGAGTTGTACGTTGTGGGGTCTCGGCGAGGCGAACGCGCGCACCGCCACGCCACGCTCTCGGAGTGAACGGGCACAGTTGACACGATCGGTACCAAGCACAACACACACATACATTTATTAACTAATTCAGACGACGATATCGTCCGCCGAATGATACATCAATTTTAATTAACACGCTACCATACAAACAACATAATGCAGTGACACACTAAACACACAATAACATGATACACACACACTAACACACCCAACACACTAACACATACCCAAGGCGGCGTCGCCAACGCCTGACTTTCCACGCGGGACCCCGGCGCGAAGCCCGCGGTGCCGAGCACCGGGGGCCCACGCGACAGACAACCGTCCGCGGCAGCCGCCACGCGCAGAAGAGACTCGCTCAACGCTCGCCCACCACCAAGGCCCGCCTTCCGCCAGGGGCCACCACCGGCGCTACCACTCTACCAACAGTGGTACTCAAAGCGAACACAACGCCATCTATCGCCCGGCGGTGGTCACCACCGAAACAAAGCCTTGGGGCAAGCACGTGCGCCACGCGGCGCAGACAACTTTACAGGGGGTTGTCAGCAACCCCACATTCCCCCAACCTTAAATTAAACCATATCCCGAAATCAGAAATTAGCTACACAAGCTTTAACAAAAAAATGATATCGCACGACCATAATGTCCTTGCGCTACGACACCGCCGCTGGTCGACACTGCTGCACTGTCCGGCTAGACTTCACCTCTGTACCGGCCCCGCAACAGCAACGTTGCCGTCGGCGCGACGAACCGTCGCTAGCGCCGACACGTTTTCCAGTTTTTATTATTTGAAACAAATCCCGCAGCGCCACTTAGGCATTATTGCGGGGGGCACAGAGCCTCATAAAATGAATCCGCAGTCTTGCGGCCAACTACATCGGCTGGTAACGTGTTCCATTCAACAATGGATTGCGGAAAAAAAGAATGCTTAAAAAGATCCGTTCTGGGGTTGTATGGCCGTACTTTAAATTTGTGATCATGACGGGAGGATTGATAATACGCTTTTTTTAAATAATCTGAAGCATTAATGCCCGTTTTATTGTTATATATCGAATAAAATAGTTTTAATCTTAGATTACGTCTTCGATCTTGTAAGTATTGCCAATTAAGTTCTCTTTTCATACAACGGGAGCTTTCAGTTCGGCCATATTTTCCCAGAACAAATCTTGCTGCCATCGACTGAATGCGCTCTAATTCATGAATATGTATTTTGTTAAACGGATCCCACACAGGACAGGCGTATTCTAGTATTGGTCTCACATAGGCATAATATGCGGCCTGTTTAACTTCCTTGGTTACATGTTTAAGATTTCTTTGTAAAAAGCCTAGGGCTTTTCCCGCTCTACTTACAACACTGCCAATGTGCTCAGACCATCCCCCATCCTCAGAAAGCGTGACACCCAAATACTTATATTTGTGTTCATACCTAATAACTTCATTGTTTAAGATGTACTGATTTGTAAATCTATTAACCTTTTTGGTGAAACTGACGTGAACACATTTATTCGTGTTTAATACCATGTCATTATTTTTACACCATGCCTCCACGTGATTAAGGTCATCCTGAAGCTGGGTGGAATCCGTTTGGTCGGTCAATTCAGTATACAACACACAGTCATCAGCAAACATTCTAATACGACACCTAATTGTATCCGAAATATCATTAATAAACACAAGGAAGAGAAGCGGACCGAGTACGGAACCCTGAGGTACCCCTGATGTCACCGAAGCTAAACACGAACAAGATCCACCAAGCACAACCTTTTGTTTTCTTGAAGTTAAATAGTCCGCAATCCAACGGCAAATGGTTTGATGAATGTTCAAGTTCTGCAGTTTTTGAATCAGAATAGAGTGTGATACCGTATCGAAAGCCTTTCTGAAGTCTAAAAATAAACAATCAATCTGTCCTCGATTATCTAAAACTGATGCTATATCATGATAGAATTCAATTAATTGGGTTGTGCATGAAAAACCCTGTCTAAATCCGTGTTGTTTAGGATTAAAAAATTTAATTGAAGTCAGGTGATTCATTAAAGCAGAAAAAAGAACATGTTCAAGTACTTTACAACAAATCGGCGTCAAAGAAATTGGTCTGTAATTTGATACGTCTGATTTAGAACCACTTTTGAAAACTGGCACAACATTAGCTATTTTCCAATCATCAGGAAGCTTGCCTTCATCGAGTGATTTTTTATAGATAACATAAAGGTAACGAGCCACTGCCTCAGAGCAAAGTTTTAAAACTCTTGGTGATATGCCATCTGGGCCAGTTGCTTTACCTTCGTCAATGCGCTGTAACAACTTCATTATGCCATTGAATGAAAGCTCTATCTCACCCATAGGCAAATATTGTTCTTTTTTATTCGTGACAATCACTTGTGTAGGTGGGCGGAAGACCGATTTAAAGAAGTCGTTAAAAAGTGTGGCTTTATCTCGATCCTCAATTACAATCTCGCCACCGTGACGTAGGTTTGGTGGGCTAACCTTCTCAGTACCACATCGTCTCATATATTTCCAAAACCTTTTCTTATTAGAAAAGTCAGCGGCCAGACTCTTAAAATACTTTTTCTTGGCTTCTTTCAGTTCCATTTTATAAAGTGATGTCAAATCTTTCATTTTATTAAAATTTTCAGGGGATTTTTTTTGGCAGTATCGGGAAAAAGCCCTCTTGCGCTTTTTGATAAGCTGAATAAGATGCCCCTTAATCCAAGGTTTCTTTATTTTACTCAGTTTATCGCTTGAGACGCTCGGGACGTGACGCCGAATGAGCCCAGTAATGCGTTCCTTAAACACTTGCCATAGCTGCTCAACAGTTGCTTCGTCTGCACTGCATTCAAAAGACAGAAATTGTTGCTCAAGACCAGCTGATATTTGCTGATAGTTTGCTTTACTATAAAAGAAGATTCTCCTAGATTCGCATTTCTTTGTATTTACCCGAGATCTTGTTAGCTTTGCAAAGACGGCGTTGTGATCACTAATACCGGGAATAACGTGTGTTTCATTAATGACATCAGGGGTATTACAAAACAACAAATCCAGAATGTTGTCACCTCGCGTAGGACTGGAAACATACTGCATGAGGCCGAGCACGTCAGTCAACGTTTTCAATTCACAGTATGTCGCTGCCTGAGACTTTAAGACACAATTACCGTTATTCCACTCAGCATCCGGTAAATTAAAGTCACCAGCAAGAACGACACATTCTTTAGAAAATGTGCAGGCAATTTTTCTCAGCTGACGCATAACATTCGGTTCAAAGACAGGAGGCCGATAGAAAGCACCAACAATGAAACTAGAACGATTACTTTGCACTACTCGGCACCAAACAGATTCAGTTTCATTGTTATCAATAAAAATTTCTTCGGACATCAAAGAATCCTTCACAAGAATGAAAACACCACCACCATGCGTTGACCGGTCTTTTCGATATGTTTGAAAATTGCAAGGAAACATTTCAGAGTTCGAAACTGCTTCGTCAAGCCAAGATTCTGACCCAATGACTAAGTCAGCGTTCACTGACCCAATAAGGCCACCCAGC